CCATGGATAAACAGTGTACAGAGAACTAGCTGATATAGAGAAACTAACTTATTACTCCATTTCTTTTACCCGTGGTTTTCGTGAGACTGTATGTTCAACAATCCTGCGTATTACGGTGTATTTGTTTCGCCCGTTTGATTACGGTCCACATTGCCCCCTGGGTATCAATGTTTAATTTCTTTTCTTGCCAGAGGCACCCACGGAGGAAAACCGAGTGCCCCCTGTGTGCATACACCAATCACCGATAGCGTACAAAACATATAGGTAAGGAAATGGAAATAAAGCTGCAAGGCTTATTTACAGGGTGCACCAGCTTCCCTCGTGGTCTGATTTTCTTTGTATTATTGTGAGGTTGCTTTTCAACCCTCACAATAGCCCCGGGCGGCGTTCACATTTATTTCAACTCTCAGTGGGTTAAAATCAATTCAGAGGAATTGATAACGGTAATGGCTGGCTACTGGTGATGAATCACTCTCTTTATTGAAAAAAGTTTGGTATTGACTATGAAGTAGTATTGATAAAGTATTGATAAAGTAGAAGATTAATCTCCAAGTATGTAAATTATTTTACGTTTTATGAAACTACTCAACTGAACCTATTTTTATTTCATTTCGATAAAAAAAATTAAATTAAAATAAAAAAAACCGCCATAAAAATGTCAAAGGATTTTGACCCTCTTGACCCCTGTAATCTACGTGATCGCCACTACCTTTTGACAGCTCTAGAAATCTTTTGGGAGAAAAATGATATTATTACATAATATAATTATATCATTATATTATTATATTATTATAGGTTCCTAGCAGGTAATTAGATAATGTAGTAACTCCTATCTTTAGGGATACTACTGATAGGTAAATATTAGTTTTCTATGTTAATCTTGATGTATATTGACGTATATAGTGTCGGAAACTGGTTGCTATAAATGAAGTTAATCTTTTTGAGCTATCCCAATTAGTTACATGGATGCTCATGTAGATGTACGAGACTTCCCATTCTACACTTTTCCTTCTAAAAGCAGTTTCTTCAAATTTCATTCATGAGGTGTTCATATAAATTCGATGTGTGGTGAAGCACTTATTCTTAAAATATCAAGCCTCCACCGCACTTAGCATTACCCAGGGTTCGCGACGGCGACGCAGCTGGTATGAACCCCGTAATAGTATATTTCGTCACTAGGCCGAAAAAAACTTTTCTGGCGAATAGTATATTTTGTCACTAGGCCGAAAGAAACTTTTCTGGCGAATATGAGTTTGCAGCCCGAGCCGAAGGCGAGGGCTGCAATCATATGAGCTAGAAAAGTTTTTTTTGGCCGTATGACGAACAGTATTTTTTGTTATGACGGCCGTAGGCAGAGACTCACGGACGCGGAGCGGAGCGCTCTGTGAAGCGCTGCCTCATGGCCGGAATGACAAAAAGGTTATAATTTGATCCAGTCTCCGCCTTCAAGTTATTTTTTACCTAATGGAGTCCGACTCGATTTTCTTGTTGATTTCAATTTCTTTTGTTGTTAAATGACGAAATAATTCAGTGTGGAGAGATTTTTCACGTTTAAAATACTGGGACCGAATGATCATAATTCGGGACTGAGATGGCTTTGTTCGGAGAGGTGCTGGCGTACTTTAGCGTAAACATCCTCTCAGCAATCGATCCGTTGGCGACGCAGATCTCAATGTAGTTTAAACAAATGGCGAACCTGTGTTTGAAGTCCCCATAAGGAACGGGATCGTGGAGAGTCCGCCCTGAGCCGTGGGCAAGAGCACTCTTCCGACTGACATATAATTATTCAAATACCAAATTGTTTGCATTTTTAATGACGACTTTGTAAAGAAGGCGATCCTACAATATATAGACAAACATCCACTCTTTTAAAAAAATATGTGGGGAGTGAATTTATTGAGTTTATACCCTTTCATTAAAATACTTCCTACATCAGTTTCCCCGAAAAATTATTTGGAGCAAGTATATGCTTCAATTACCGAAAAATTCCATTCACATCGGCTGTTGATACAACGGAGTGAATTCTTAAGTCCCAAATTAAGAAATTGTCAATCTTTTGATATTATTCATATTTTCATTGCATTAATAGGATGAGATTGAAACGTGCTTGAATAAGGTTTCAGATAGTTGAAAATTCAATGAAAATCCATGAATTATAGCAGCAGATTAATATTTAATTTAAATATCGGCTATTAAGAAAATAGATGCAATGAACATGGGTTTGATGCTACATTCGTTGGGCAACCGATTGTCAACTGGTGGTGGGTTAAACGGGTGGAAAATTCATTCAAAAGTGTTCATCCGATGATTTCGTAAATCATAATGGGTTTGACATGAAGGAAAATTTCTAATAATGCAGAAACTTGGGACACTGATTTGTTCACTAATCTTTTTTGTTTATATTTCATCTAGAATATAAAAATATTTTTATCACTATTTTTATTACATTATCAATTGGTTATTTTATCAAAAAGAAGAAAACACCGATAATTCATAAAAACTAATATATTGTCGACTAACGAATTTTCTTGAAAGAAAATGAAATATTATCGATTTTATTTCAGAACTCGAATACGAAATAATTTTTTGTTAGAATTTTGGGAGCCGGAATCATGTTCAATGTCACGGTTGTTCTGTTAGGGTAGGCGGGGGGTGTACAGCTCACCTAAGGGAAAGAGTTCATTTTTTCAATCTCCAGAACATATACGGGTCAATTAACTTTTGGGATTGGTTCTTTGAAGCCTTTTTTCACAATTCCAAAAGTAAACAATTTTCATTAACACTCAACATATCAAATTATGAACTTCAACTGACACCAAGGATGGAGCGGTATTGCCTCACGATGTGCGTATTACCGCTCGGGGTGTTTGTAATACCACTCACTCGCTGTCAAACTACTCAGTTACTTCACACACGAGGTAGTTGACTAAAAAATGCAGATTGGAGACTTTTTTTATAAATTTATTCATATTGAACACGAATGAGGGACTCACTTATACATTTTATCCTGTCTCTCAGTGTACTGAATGGAATATCGTACGTCTCTGAAGCTGTATGAAGCAACGTTCCATCATTTTCAACAGCATGTATAGCTTTTTTCAAATTTTCTTCACTCCATTTCCTCTATATATTAGGCTTCTTCGGTGTTTTGTCCCGTGGCATTCTAGAAAAAAAAAATATCGATAACTTGAGCAACTGATGGGTCCACCTAACCTCTCGATGAATTCGTCGTTTTTATTAATAACATTACACTGATTGCATCGTTCTATTCTCGATTTTCATTGTCTCATCATTTTCCCATATTTATTTTATTATGAACAATGATGAATGCTAAACTTACTTGATCGTTCGCCGACCGGTAACTCGCCCATGCGCCTCAGCTGTCACTCGGCGAGCGGTACAACCCACAGAGTGAGTGGTATTAGGAACACTCCCCGAGCGGAATTACCCGGAAATGCCGGGTGTCAAAAAAACATTAATAATTAATTTACCAGGGTCTTTTTCGTCATCAACTATGTCCCAGTCGATGGATAAATGTATTACCAGTTGATATTTCATAACTTTTTATTTTTTTATGTATCTGAAAATGTGAAAAAACTTAAATTCTGGAGTCAAATTCTTCTATCAATTACATTAAAAATCAATGGTATAATTTTTTATTAACTTTCAACGATAACAAGTTAGAAACTTTGATCGAAATTAGATGTTAGTTGTAAACACATCGATTTGAAAAAAGAAAAAAAAAATTTTTTTTAATTTTTCTTAAAAGTCATGAGAAAAATAGGTGAGCGGAGATGCCCGCTGAGCGGTACAGCCTCCGCCTAACCTAGTGAATTCTTCTAGCTAAGATTTTCATGGCTGAGCAGAGGTTTTTGTTTTTGGTACAAGTTGAAAAGAGAGTATTATAGCAAAATGTGTGTCAGAAAGGGAGAAAGGAAGAAAATGGAGTAAAACGTAAGAGAAGCGATACTTTGCAGTGACTACGACAGCCCATGGGTCCGTATACTTTTTCGACATGTTTGTCGTAAAATTTGACAAAGAGGTCTGAAGGACCTGACTGCAATAAAGTAAAATGGTAATTTCTAGTCGAGTTGAATAGAGTCTTTGTGAGAACGAAAATATATTTTGAATTGTCACGAGTTTAATTTTAGTTTCAGTCTTGAGAATTTTACGCAATAAAATCAAATGCACATTTATGTAGTAAACGAAAAATATGCCTTTAAGTTTATATTCAATTGACGTCTTATATAACGAATAATAATAACCTTGATGAAAAGAAAAGAAAAATAAAATGAAAAAAACATCGGAAAAGTTGAGCCGAGGAAATTCTGTAGAAAATATCTCAATAGAACAAGTTGTACAGAAAAGTTGAATTCTATTGCTTTTTTCTACAGAATATTTTCGATTGAACATCTCAGTAGAATCGGCCAAAAACCAATGGAAAGTTCAATAGAAATCAAATAGAATTGTCTAGCGAATTCACTAAGTTATTCTATTAGATTTTTTCGTGCGTGAAGAGTAATTTGAATAAGATAAAGATTCATTAAATCACTCCTTATTTAACAATTGAAAGAATAGATATTCGTCGGTATATTTAATTATAAAAATTATAATTATAATGCATTAAGCAAGTGGACAAATCAAAGCTCTGAAAAGTTCATTCATTTTGAAATTATCTCCGTCTATTTCTTCACTATTGCGTTCTGACATTACAGCAGATGTTCATTTTTCCACTGTTAGTATTTTACTAACTGATTGTGAGAGAAACCCTTCGACTCTACAGTTGGTCCCTTTTGAATGACGGTACAGTAGGGCTTGGACGTTACCAACAGACTAAATATCTTCAGTCGGTAAGTGATCATTCTAGGATTATTGACCGACTGTCGGTACAAGACTTCATCAATCGTGTGTGGAGGAGGGTTTGTTTGAAATCCAAAAATGATTCTCCACGTCAATTTGAGGGCATCAAGGTGGAAATTGTAAATAAATACAGAGAGAAATTCTTGAGGAGGTGAAGATTTTTACTTTTCACGTTCATTAGTGTACAATGAATGGATCAAATTTATCTCGTACAAATAATATCAGCATGATTTTCCAAACAAATAATTAATAAAAATTTGCTGAGACTAATAACAGTGTGATAGGCGACATTTTCCAATAATCATCATCAAACATGTTTGCAGTATTAATAATATCAATAAATGTGAATTTATAGGTAAACATCATTGTCAGTGAGATCATTTTTCATTAAATCTCATTGTCCCTAGGGTATTATATACATTATATTCAGTTTATCATTCATTTGAATCGTCGATATACTCGTATACTCGTCATCGATGATTTGTCTTTTAATGGAATTGAAAGTTTTTTTGGTTCAATGTCGATCATCAACGACGATGAAAATTATAATTAGTTTTTATTTTCAGTTGTTTATCTACACGGTAATTTCCAGCTCTTTAACGGCCGCTTGAATGTGAATGTCCAAGGGGGCACTTTCGTCGACCTCTGGATGTTTGTAATCGTTGAGAAAGTGACAGATGCCTGGAGTACTTGCTGGGAATTCTTTCGGTAAGTTATCTTTGGTCCGCTCTTCTAAAATAAATCCTGGTCTTTGTGTTAAGAATCTGAAAAAGGAATTCACAAAATATCAAAAGACGATCATGCTTCAAATTTCACAGACATTTTTATGTGAATTCTTCAGAAATAGTTCGGTCTTGAAAAAAATGGAAGATATTTTTTGCAGTTCATAAAATTGCTCCTGTTTAATATCGTCACCGTATAGCCAACGGGACGTACACGGAGAGAAATATTCAATAAAAATTACAAGAAAAAAGACGTAAAAATTACGTTTCGAAACGTAATCTGGGAGCGAAGTAAAATTCAATAAAAAGTGTCAATCGTCACGTAAATTCTACGATCTGTTCCGTAAAAATTACTCATCCGTCCGACGCCTCACGGCTAGCCATGAGTCACCGTGAGGGGAAGATTTTAACAACACGTTCCGTAATTTTTCCGGAAGTTTTCGTAAAAATTCTTAAACATCCAAGAATTTTCATGTTCTGAGGCATAATAAGTCTTGAAGTTTCTGTTAGATTTTACAACTTCCAGAAAAATTACGTAACTTTTTCGTATTTTTTCGGTGACAGACCCGAAAAATTACTGAACGTTTCAGATTTATTCTCTTATATTCCTATAGAAATTCACTGCAAACGATTCTCGCTTGCGGATTACGTGAAATGTTCCGTAATTTTTCTTGAATATTTCTCTCCGTGTAAGAGCCACCATTTCGATTTTATTTTCTTCAAAACCAAAGGGGCGTATGTTTTTTTAAATCATGAAGTTGAACTTAGAACATAAGCAATGACAAAGGGGCACAACTCCAAAGTATAGGTTCGTATTTTTTCTGATTGATGTAATTTATTTAACGATTGCACTAAGGATAACAAATATTTTCTCATTTCCTTGAGCATTTCTAAAATTAATTAAAAGTGGACAGAGTGCGGCCAAATAGACGAAGTGGAAGAATGGCCCTGCTTCTACGACGGATCATGGCACAGAAACGTAATTGGGGAATTTACCCCCTTTGGGTGTAATTCTCAGCTATAATACCCCAAGACCTTCAAAATTATCGGATATTTCCCGAATGTTTTGTTGCATAGCAACGAGAGGGATCAGTTTTGCAGAATAAAATCACGAGCGCGCAGCGCGAGGGATTTTACTGCAAAACTGATCCTTCTCGTTGCTATGCAAGAAAATTTGAGGAAAATATCCGATGAATTTTGAAGGTCGAGGGGTATTCGGAGGACAATTTCTTCAATTCTGATTTCGGCCGATCAAAATGTGAAGAATATCTGTCAAATTCGTAAAAACAATTGACAGGCTACAGGGAAATTATCAGTCTGATAATTTCCCGGCAGCCGGGGAAATTAACAGTTTGAAACCCGTCACGTGATCCCGAATACTGCATTCTGATTGGTCCAAATCAGAATTGAGGAAATTGTCATAATAAAAGTGTTCTTTCAAAGTGTATGACTGATAATGGTAAACAGGCGTAAGTGTGGAGTTACGCTCCTTTGTCCTTGAAAACAGGTAATTACGCCTCTTTGGTAGAGATTTTTTTGTTACCCCTCGAGCACTCGCTCAACGAGCGCGGCGCCGCCCGTTTTCGTTTTTTTATATTTTAGAGTATTTTTCGACGCTTAAAAAATCTGAAAAAATTGGAGTTCCTAGTTCAATCCTTTTATTAAGTGTTGGCGTTGTTCGTTTTTTCTCGGGAGATGTGTTTAGCTAAAAATAAAAAAGAGATGTCGAACGGATAGAACAGCGGCGCCGCGCCGCCCGGTACGAGTGAGTCCCTGTCGACCCCTCGAGTAACAGTGTTGCTACATTCACTGCCGCACTTGAAAGGTGCGCACAGCGGTAAGCGCCAAGGTGGCAACAGCGCGCTCGGTTTAACCCAGCGGCGCTGCGCTAACCGTGCGACGGATGAAGGCTGGCGGTCGAGCGCGAGTGATCGAAGGTTAATACATTTCAGTAGCGAAATGGTCAAACGGTTTAAGTCAATTTAGTCTTTAGTTGAGTTTTCCAGAAATATTTCCGAATCTAAGGGAGATAGCGAAATTTTCATAATAACCTTTTTTTTGTAGAGCGAATTGAGTGCTACTAAAAAGGTTATGAGAAAAATTTTGCTATCTCTCTTAGATTTCAAGATATCCATTGAAAACTGACCAATAGCCAAAATCGACTTAAACCGTTTGATCACTTCGCTACTGATTCTCGTTCAGAATTTGGACGAAAAGGCGAAAAATCATTGACACCGGATATAGGGCACTTACAACCCTTGTCTATACGGCGACGATATAATACCTCATAACAAATCAGTCGGAACACCTTTGATCAATCGAAATGGAAATAATAATGTTAAAAATTATTCAAAAAACTCGGCTCACTCATGCGTTGTAGGGCTGATGTTGACCCGCAGTGGTTCACTGGTGGACTCGAATTTATTGGCAATGGTGACATTGTGTCCGAACAAACAGTACCTCGGCATTTTTTTCCCCACAACTCCAGCAAGTACCATGCCAGTATGAATGCCAATTCGCATCTGTAAAAAAAAACAGACCAATTCTATCAAAGTTTCGATCAAAAACCCTGGTGAACGATACCCTTTGAATAATTGATGGGTGTTAAACTCTCAACGTGAAGCACTGATACTAGCATCAGAGTGTTCCCAACCCCACTGGCCCGCCCCAAAAATCCCCAGATGGCAGTGCACATGGACACCTAATTATGTGAGTTCGATTTCAAGCGCCGGTGGCCCCTGGTGAGGTGGCTAAACCGCGGAAACTCACGCCCATATCACACAAGTTGTGGGAAACTTGGCTCACGGTTAGTTTAGTCCCATAGCTCGGCTAATCAATCAATTGAATTAGTGATTGATTCAACTCAGTTATTGACAATCTTAAATTCGATAAAACTCATGGGAAACAATAGATAACGAAGCGTAAACAGTCGAGGAGAAATACTGTGGAACGTAAACGTACTGTCCACAGGGATGTTCATTCTTGGTCCAAAGTAGTTCAATTTTGGAAATTTTTATAATATTTTCGTCCCGATCGCAATCTAGATGTGAATATTTTTAGTTGTCAAGTCATCCAACTTTGAATAAATGATAATACAGACGATTGCAAAGCATCTCAAATTATTGATTTTCGCAACAGATGATGGTTTCAACTCAATCTGAAAATATTATGACGCAGCTTGTAGAAAACGCTTGTTATATTTAACAAAAAGCAAAAAATAATCTCACTATAATAAGGAAGGGGTGACCATATGAAATGGCGATGAGAATCTTTGACCGTTATAAGAGTCGCATGAATATTGGAAAAGCGAAAAATATTAAAGGACGATCAGGATGAGGATAAAAAATTCAACATTAGCAAATGCTTGTGAAGCGACTCGACCGATCAAGACAAATTGAAAGATGGCGTGATAGTATCCTCATATAAGGAGAGGATCACTTTGGGGAAATACGTTTTTGAAATTCAGTTTTACTCTACCTGAGGTAGAACTCTGCTACTCAATCTTTTCACTCCTTTTAGCAAGATGACAGCCATTCCCTTCAACATAATACTCCTTCCTCCAATGGATAGTCCACACAAAAATTTATCAGAAACATTCTTAATCTGGTTTTATTACTTCAATGAAGAATGTATATTTCTGCCTTAATTTCGTTAACAAACTTCGATTTTACGATTTATCCACCCTCTCTAATGCAACCGGATGACAATTGAAATGGGAAAAGTTTTAATCCTCACTAATGCGCAGATAATAAACATGGGATATCTGCAATGGAGTGATATGCGATAAACCAAATAATAGCCAGAGCTTTTGATATCCCTGAATGGATAAACTCGACAAAGAGGCCTATCTCATTTCTCAATAATCCAGGACTTCATGCAGACGGGGAATGGCAGTACATTCGTATGTGCCATCTCAACTCCAACTCAAGCGCGGAGAACTTTGAAATGCAATTAACACGACCATGTATTTATGCGCGGTAAAGCTCACCTTTATGGGTTTACCCTCGTGCGTCAAATGCTGTGAACACGTTTGAATCATTTTCAGACCCATCCACGCAATCTGTTGGGCGTGAGTGTTTGTATTTCTGTGGAGGCCACATGCAACGCAGTAGGCATCGCCAATTGTTTCGACCTGAAAATTAATGAGAGTTAGAATTTGTTTATACGTGGAAGGGAAAAGTATTCATTTAAGATTTTATATTAATTATGCAGAGGTGAGAGTGTGATCAATTGACTGGGAGACAAACATACAATAACACAGATACTTTTTGATTCTTTTTTCAAGATATGGGGGCATCGAGAAATTAAAGTACTGATTCAAGTCGACGTCGGCTTGATTCTAGTCGATTTTCGACTTGATTCAAATCGAGTGACTCGGACTACGCTAATCTGGATTCCAGGTCTGATATGACTCGAAAAGTGGTTTATTTCAAGAAGAAAGGTCTCAAGCCGACAACGGTTTGATTCACGCCTATTTTTTGGTTTGATTCAAGCCGATTTTTCGGCTTGATTCTAGTCAAAGCAACACTTGGTCCAAATCGGAAAGATACACTGTTAGGAAAAAAATCCAACTTGCATGAAGCGTTCGACAGTTCTCTTTACGAAAGTGACATTAAATTCCATTCACAGGAAAAAATCATGAAATTTCTAATTTTACACATTATTTCCTAATCTGAATATCGACCAATAGAAATTCAGTATTTGACTTTTTGCGGAGCAGTGGGGAGAGAATTATTATTTCCATTTCGAAGATTTTCTGTTGAAGTAAATGAAGATCTGGTATGAATATGGGTTTAACTTGCAAAAACGTCAATTTTCTATTGATCGAAATTCAAATGGGGAAGTAATCCAATAGAATGCCGCTTGTGCTCCAAAATCATTGAAAATTTTGGAGCACTCAGGGCATTACGGTTGAAGAATCGATGAATTTACGGATTTTTGAGAAAAAAAAGGGAATTCCTCATTTAACTTGAATTCTCAAATAGAAAATGAGTGTCCAGTACCAAATTACACAAAATTTTCAATTCATTCACAACGGCACACTATATTCACTTCAATTTTCTTTATTTCAATACATTTTATGCAATAACTGAACTGCCATGTAGTTTCCACTAATTTTTTAAATCAAATTTCAACCCTAAAAATCGACTTGAATCAAACCGAAAAATCAACTTGAATCAATCGGAAAAACCGATCAAAATCATAAGTAAAATTCGATCTGAATCAAGCCCAAGTCGACCTGAATCAATTAGAGATTACCAGTATCCCTCAAATAAGACGAATCCTGGAAATCTCTTGAGCTAAGAGGCATTTCACCGAGGGGATTCCGATTCATTCGGTCTAGCACTGGGTGAACGCTTGCATTTCAGAAAAACGAAAAGCAAGTGGTTCGTTACAAACAATTTCAAATGGATTTTTATGACGATGTATATTACGTTGAATTCAATGATTCATTGAATTTACCATAGCCCCAACGGTAAAAATTTGTTATTTTTCCCTGAATGTCGGTTTCAAAATAAATTTTTCCAACAACAGATGGTGCAATCAATCTCATGATCGAACTCGGTCAGAATGGCGGTAGGAAGAATATTTTGAATCGCAATTGGATACATTTAAATAATTATTTTTTCAATTACCGTCGGAAAACTATCGCTAAAATATACACATACACACAGGCATATATACTTTTCATCTCAAAATTTCTTAAATTATAATGTGTTTGATGTGAAAGAAAATTTTCAATAATTAAGAAACTTGAGACTGATTTTATTTATTTAAATGTTTGTTTATATTTCCTGTAGAATATTAAAATATTTTTAAAACTTTTTTATTGCATTGTCAATTGGTTATTTTATAAAAGAAGAAAAAAACACGAAAAATTACAAAACACTGTTACATTGTCTATGAGTGAATTTTCTTAGAATAAAATATTATTGAATATTATTGATTACTAGAACAGGGCGCGCGCTTCGCGCGCGTATCATTTTCCATGGGTGCCACAATAGTAAAACCTTACCGTTTCTCACTTTCATTAATTTTTATCTCAATAATAATAATGCAGAAAAAATGAATAGTTTCAACAAAGTTTTTCAGAATGAGAATTTAATTGATGAATAATTTATTCGGAATCGTTATAATCCTCTTCATCTTCTTCTTCGTTTCTCTTTTGCTTTTCACGTACTTATTAATTTGTAGGGATGTATTATGTACTGTATACATAAATACTATCCTATATATCTATTTTTTTTACAGAATTATAAATTTTTTTACAGTTGAAAAAATGAAAGTATAAATCATAGATGTATAATATACCTGCTATATATTATGAATGCTATATATTATATTATATTATATATAATATAATATATTATATTATATATATACTATACATATATGCATTTTTTTATAGTACAGAACTGTGTTTCATTTTTTCAATTGTTAAATAAATTACAGTACATGAAAAAATATACATAGACATAATATTACATTACTTGATAGGCGGCATGGAGGCTTCAGAAATCGATACACTGGATTATTTTTAAGTGGATTTAAAGTGGATTTTTCCAACCCAAATATCAGGCAATATAATTGAAAGATCGGTCGAGGCCGCCGAAGGCCGGCTCGACAGATCAAAATTATACGAGCGTCTCGTTCGAAGATGATTACATATGTAGTTAGCCTCGGATGAGGTAAACTTCACAACGTTTTAGAGATTTGAATTCAAAATTCCTACCCGCTACTGTCCGTAGCGCCATCCTGTGTTGAGTCATATTTTAGAGATTTTGAAATTATCCTCATTTGAAGATGATTACGGGTTATAATTTGTTGGGAGGGTGTGGGTGTAATCATCTTCGAACGAGACGCTCGTATAATTTTGATCGGTCTTCGCCCGCCTTCGGCGGGCTCGACCGATCTTTCAATTATACTTCGCGTCTCGTTCTCGATGATTACATATGTAGATGTTTAGAGACTGGATAATTTCACTCCATTTGCGTTATTCTTTATTATCATTATAATATTTATGTTGTCATATTAAACTTTTTTTTTTTTAAGATAGCTTTATAAACTTTAAAATATTTACTTTCTAAGTACTGATAATGCGAAAGTCTCCTTCGGAGGCTCTATAGGTTGATTATAAAATCTAGCAAAGACTCCTGACCTCTCAGACCATCCTGCTGTCTTTTGAATTATAGTACGATCTACACCTTGTTTGAAAGCTTTTGAAACAGCTGCATGACATGTACTATAAGCGCTGAATATTTCAGTGTCAATGCCTGCTCTACTGATTAGTTTTTTAATTCAATGTCCTATGGTCTGAGATGTCACAGCCTTATGAGGTTTCTTCGTTGAAATGAATAATCGTTTGGTATCACCTCTTAACTCTTTGGTTAGTTCTAAATAACTTATTACATGAGAGGCTACACAGTCTCTTGTTCTCTTGAAAAAATGGAATCACTAAGTCTGGTTGGGGCTTGCCCCGTTTTGACGTTTTGATAGGATCTGGAATTTTTACGTTAATATGCTCTTCTGACACTACTATATTCTCAATATTAATCTTCTCTAGGGTTTGAAGCCTGTGGCTTGTTGTGAGTGCTATAAGAGTAGCTGTCTTTTGTGAAAGCATCATTAAATTACTAGAGTCAGTCATTTTCTCAATGAAATCTAGTACTACTGAAGGATCCCAGGTACTTGAATATCTAGCTCTACTCGGACGTGATTTATGAACACCCTTAAAAAATCTTGATAGAGATTCGTTATTGGAAATATCAGCATTGGAAATAAGAGAGATTGCCGAACGAGCTGAATTAAGTGAGCTATAACTGCTTCCTTCATAGAATCTTTTAGTCAAAAATTTTATGATCATTGGTATTTCGATTTTAAAGGTGTCGCATTTCATGGTTTGTGAAAAATTCCACCATTGTTTAAGGTGTCCCTCATATTGTTTGAGTGTTGATCCTTCAATTGAATTGATGAAAAACTCTGCAGATTCCTGAGGCATCCCTTTATTTAGATACGCTTGCCGGATAATTTGACGACCACCAGGGAAAGGTTCGTGGCTAGCGGATGTATGATTGTTCTGTTAGGAGAGAGAAGTAATTGTTTATCTGGATCGAAAATAAGTGGTTTTTCACAAGCCAATCTCATGAGCAAAGGGTACCATGGTTGGGCAGGCCAGAGGGGTGCAACCACTGTACCCTGTGCTTCATCTACGATGATTTTCTTGAGAGTTTGAGTCAATAGAGCGAACGGAGGGAATGCGTAAAATTCTTCTCTTGACCAATTAATCGTGAAAGCGTCAATATGTTGAGCTTCAGGGTCTGGACCCCTCGAACAGAAATTTTTACATTTTTTGTTATTTCTGGATGCAAAGAGATCCATAGAAAAAGAACCAAATTTTTTATTTATTATATGAAAAGCTTGCGAAGAAATTTCCCATTCTGTGTCAATATTTTTGACACGAGAGGCACTGTCTGCTTCTGAATTTTCAGCTGAGGGGATATAAGAAGCAAAAATCCAAATTCTCCTAGTCTCACACCAGTGCCAAATTTCTTTAGCTAGTTCTGTGAGATGAGGAAAACGAACCCCACCAGTCTTGTTTACGTATGCTATCGCAGTTGTATTGTCCATTCGAATAAGAATTTCACAATTGCATGAGTCTCTGGCAAATGTTTTCAAGGCTAGGAAGCAAGCAAGTAGTTCAAGATAATTTATGTGGTGTTTTTTATCTTTAAGGGTCCAGAAACCACCAGTTTTTATGCCTTTTGAAAAGGCGCCCCACCCACTAAGGGATGCATCTGAAAATATTTCCATTTTGTAAGACATTGTTCTGATTGGATGAATTCCTAATACTAAATTTCTTTTCCACCAAACTAAATCATCGCTCACTGGTTTACTTAACTTCATCATTGCTTCATAATTGTTATTATTAATTAGTAATTGCAGATATTGAAGTCTCTCTAAGCTCTTACAATGTACTCTGCCATATGCTATAGCTGGACAGCATGCTGTGAGTACACCTAATAAATGAGCAAATTTACGAATTGAGACCATCTGTCCTAGGCTAAACTGGTCAAGAAGTTCTGACACTTTTTCCTTTTTTATACTAGGTAATTCAATTGTGTAATCCTCTAA